ATGACATTGATGCAAAGGTTCTCAATAAAATGCTGGCAAATAGAATGCAGCAAATCATCATGAAGATTATACATCACAACCAAGTGGTATTCTTTTCAGGAATGCAGGGGTGGTTAAATGTATGCAAGTAAATGTAATACACCACATCAATAGAGCCAAAAACAAAAACCACATGGTCATCTCAATAGATACAGAAAAAGCTTTTGATAAAGTCCACCACCAGTTCATGATATAGACCCTTCAGAAACTTGGAATACACAGTGTCTAACTCAATATTATAAAGGCCACCTATGACAAACTAACAGCCAGCATTATACTGAATGGACAAAAATTGAAAGCTTTCACTTCAAAATCAGGAACAAGACAAGTATGTCCACTATCACCACTCCTATTCAATATAGTTCTGGAAAGACAAGAGCAATCAGACAAGAGAGAGAAATAAAAGGAATAAAGATAGGAAAGGAAGAAGTTAAATTATCACTATTTGCAGATGACATAATACTCTATATAGAAGACCCAAAAAACTGCATTAAAAGACATCTTGAGGTAGTAAGCAAATTCAGCAGTGTAGCTGGATACCAAGTAAATGCTCAAAAGTCAATAGCATTCGTATACACAAGAAAAAACTAACAGAGAGAAATTATGGAAATACCAACCTTCACAATAGCATCTAAAACAATGAAATACTTAGGAATCAACCCAGCTAACAGTGAAAAAGATCTGTATGCTAAAAATTATATTACACCAAGAAAGGTGATTGAAGAGAATATCAGAAAATGGAAGGATATTCCTTGCTCTTGGATAGGAGGAACCAACATTTTGAAAAAGGCCATACACCCAAAACTATTATACAAATTTAACACAATCCCAATCAAAACGCCATTAACATACCTCACAGATCTAAAGAAAACACTCCTAAAATTCATTTGAAAACAGAAGAAACCTAGAATAGCAAAAGCAATTCTGGGCAACAAATGAATCAAAAAGCTGGTTTTTTGTTTGTTTGTTTGTTGTTTTTTTTTTGAGAGAATAAACAAAAAAGGCAGCATCTCAATTCCTGACTTGAAACTATACTACAAAGCCACAGTGATAAAATCAGCATAGTACTGGAAAAGAAATAGACCTGAGAATCAATGGAATAGATTAGAAGATATAAGCACAACTAAAAAGACACTCAGCCACCTGATATTTGACAAGGGGGCTAAATATGTTTTCTGGAAGAAGGATAGCCTCTTTAATAGATGATGTTGGAAAAACTGGCTTCCCACATGCCAAACACTTAATCTAGACCATGCCTATCACCATGCATACAAATAAAGTCTAGATAGATCAAAGACCTAAATATTAAAACAGAAACACTAAATCTACTGGAAGACAAGGTATGTAGAAGTTTTGGAGACATAGGAGTAGGCAGAGAATTCATGAACAAAATGCAAACTACCCAGGAAAAACCTCAAAGAATCAACAAATTGGACCTCACATTATTGAAGTTTCTGCACTTCAAAATACATCACCAATACAGTGAAAAGAAAATGGAAATTTTCTTTCCAAAGAATGGGAAAGAATTGTAGCCAGGAACTCCTCAGACAAGACCCTTACATCCAGAACATTTAAAGAACTGAGTATCATCAAGTCCCCCATATTCAAAGACCCTCTCCAAAAATGGGCATCTGAACACACAGTTCTCAGATGAAGATATACAAATGGAAAATAAATATATGATGAAATGTTCACCATCACTGGTCATTTGAGAAATGTAAATTAAAACAGCATTGAGATTTCATCTCACTCTGGAAAGAACAGTTTCCATCAAGAAATCAACAGATAACAAGGCGAGGCTGCAGGGAAAAAGGAACACTGTTCCACCGTTGGTGGGAGTGCAGACTGGCGCAGCCACTATGGAAATCACTATGGAGGATTCTCAGAAGACTAGGTTTGGAAGTTCCTTTCAATCCAGCTATTCTTCTACTGGGTGTTTTCCTAGAAAAACTGAGAAGGTCATGTCACAGTGATATATGTGCACCCCTGTTCATAGCAGCACAATTTGTAATAGCTAAATCTTGGAAACCAGATGCCCATCAACTGCAGAGTGGATGAAAAAGATGTGGTATTTTTATACAATGGAATATTACTCAGCTATAAAAAGGATGAATTTGAGGCCTTCATAGGTAAATGGAGACAAACGAGGCTATCCTCATTAGTGAAATAAGAATCATATTTATAAATATCACATATTGTCTTTAATATAAAAAATAATAAGAAAGGTAGGCATAATAAAACCTAAAGTGTGTAATTGCTATTGTTAAAAAGAGAGGAAAAGAAAGTGCTCTAAAGGATAAAACTGCTTGTATGTTTAAGTGTATAGGATTGATAATCATATTACTGTTTTTGTTGTATAGTCGAACAGAACTATTTGTAGTCTGACTGTTTGAACAGCCACTTTGTATGATTTACTTTTGTAACTTGAACAACTATTTCTAAGAGGACAATATGTAATATATCAATTAGTGATTTTTTACTGTTTATTTTTTGAAATTACATATTATTTATATCCATTTTCTCTTTCGCTTTTTTCTTTAAATAAAATTTAAAAGATAAATTTAAAAAAAATTTTAAAGTACATTCGGATTTACCTGATTAGCAAAAGCAAACAGTTAAACACTGAACCAAGCAGAAATTCAGGTTTGATAACTGATTCTGGTTTTGTTTTTTTCACCATTAATTGGTGATGAAAGCTCTCATAAATTATGTCACTGTACAACAGGACAAAAGAAGGCTAGAGAACTTGGCTTCGGATAGCTGTATATGTATGTTTGACACCCCCATAGTCAATTATAGTACTTTAAGTGGACTGCTGTAATTTGCCCCCCCTCGAACATTTTTTTTCACTGCACTGAGGTTGCACTAAATTCAGAACCTTCACACTGAGCTATTTTCCCACATTTTTCTTTCTTTCTTTCTTTCTTTCTTTCTTTCTTTCTTTCTTTCTTTCTTTCTTTCTTTCTTTGTACTGGAGATCGAACTCACAACCTCACACTTGCCAGGCAGGCATTTTGTGTTGCTGAGCTAAATTCCTAACCCTGACTTTTTTGTTTCTTTTATCTCTATTTCTTTTTATTATTTTACTTTGAGATCAAGTGCAATAAAATTACTAAACTGTCCAGGCTGGGCTCAAATTCGTGATTCTCCTGCCTCAGTCTCCAGGAAGGGTAGGATCATGGGCACGTGCCACATGCCTGGCTGTCACTTAACTTTTATTCTGTAATCTTACGTCTTTAGGTTTTTATTCTTTCTGGGCTTGATGCCAAATTTTGAAGCTTCTAAATATATACTTTTTTCTTAAGTAATTATTCTATAATAGAACGACAATTTTGGCATTCTTTTTGTATGCATTTAATTAAAAAGTACTGACTGACATAATTTTAAGTTTTGCACTGCAGTGTCTTAGATCTTGTAGGTGTGCCATTCAGGACTGTGGTTTAGAGGATGTGATCTGGGGCCAAACTGATCCACCCATGTCCTGACAGTAGCTATGTATTAGTTTTCTGTATCTCTGTTACGTAGCAGTGGGTCCTACATTATATACTATTCGAATGAAAGTAGAAAAGCCATCTGACAATGGCTATTGTCTCCCTTTTCCCGTTAGCTGTTTTTATTCTGAGTATTTCCAGTCACAGTTTCCAGGAGTACAGACTTGAGGACAAACTACAGCTGGGTAAATGATACAATGGAAAAATCCTGATAGCGTGCTTGAGTCTAATTAAAGGAAAACAGTACAAAACCTTTACTTAAAAAAACTTAAAATTTAATAATGGATATTAAAGTTGATCAATTTGTTCTCTAATGTGTTCCCTTGGGAATCATCCCAATTCTACAATTAAAGTGAAATGATGAGACATGGCTCTGATTTCTTAGCTGCAGTGATAATCTCAAAGCAAAATACTTCAAAGCATATATTTGGAGTACAATTTCTCTGAAAAAATGAGATATGTTTATATGTAAGGAAAGTTTTATAAGAGAAAGAGGGAAAAATCCACTGAATTCTAAAGCTTACTAAGTAGTAAAATGTAAAACTTCACACCTCGTTTTATGTGCGCTAGGCAGGTTTTTAAGCTTGCCTTTCATGTACAGCTGTTTTATACAATTTTCATTTATTTGAGTATTTTGTATCAAATCCTTTTGAAACATTTACTATAATTAGTGGTAAAGCATATTTTTTCTAATTTTAAAAAAATAAATGCCTGTTTTTTGAAATTCAAAGGATGAATATAGAGAAACGCTTACAGCCTGATTTCTGGCACCAAAAATGATGAGGCTCTGAGTCCTGAATCTTTCATTTATTAAATTGTCCTTGGGCAAATTCCAAAGCTGATTTTTATCATTTATACTCAGACACAAATGAAATCATGCATGTCACATGCTCAGAGTGCTACCTGGAGGACTCAGTACGTGTTAGATATTACTTTCCGGTTATCACAATTGCTATTATAAAAAGAAATTAAAAATAAATCAGCTGCTACTTAAGTGTATTAGAATCAATAAAATCTATTTTAATATATAAAGAACTGTGATAAAAATTAAGGTAGATATTATATAATTAGGAAGGGGAAGTAAAGTAGTACAAATAAAAAAATAATTGTATGGCTGTGATACTCTAAAATTAAAGAAGGATATTCATCTCTAGGAGTGAGTTAACTTTGTGAGCCACTGATTATTAAAAAGATCTTTGATGATATTTTAAGCACAAAGATTATATGACTTATGGAAAATGTCATAGTATAAGAAATCTTTCTTTACAAGGTACACCTAATAAGAGTGCTGGAGAAATACAAATATATTTTTCCTGACAATATTAAATTCTCCAGTTGCACTGAAATTTTATTTTCATTTGGCATAAGCCCTCAGCCACCATTTTTATCCTAAGCAAATACAACATGAATATTCAAAAACAGAAGTTTTAGGTAAATTGAATCTTATGCAATAGAAGTTTCGTAACATACCGAGGTCTTGTTTTTTATCTTCCTGTCTTTAGTAGTTTTCCCTTTTTTGTTGCTAGTAAAATAATGCAAGGTTCCATATTCCATTAAGGCAGCAAAAACAAAAATGAAACAAACGGAAACAAAGAGATCCATCGCAGTCACATAAGAAACCTTAGGTAACGACTTCCTGGCAATTGTACTTAGGGTTGTCATAGTCAAAACTGTAGTGATACCTGTAGAGAGAAGGGGAGAAAAAAAGATTAAGAATAATTTAACAGGCCGATTTTATTCTTCTATATGATTTGGCAACATTGGGAGCTGAAATAAATACTGGAAACAAAAGGATATAATTGCTAGTCATTTACAGAAAGAATCACTGGTAACCATGGCTACCCAACCTGAAATGCCTTCTTTGTGTCTGAATTTTAATCATTTAAATTACTATGGAGCACAGTGATTCCCAATACCCTTCCTGTCCTTCCTCTATACCAATGAAATTATCAACTTTTTAACCTGATCTGCGCTTGCCTGAAAAAAACAAGTTTGTCACCTTTTGTGCAGTGCAGTGTGACCACAGGCTAAGATGTGGTGAAGCGGAGTTACGGATTGGAAGCTATGTCTAAAAGATGGCCTTAAGGAGGTGGAGAATCCTTCTTCCTCTCCTCCTCATTCGCTGCTGGAATAAAATGATCAGAGCACCAGAATGCTCTGGTATTTTAGATGTTCAAATCACCAATGACTCAGCACAAAGCTACAGGAACCTGAATCCCTGATATCCTAAGGCACCTTATCACTTTGGTAATTACTTCTGAACTTGCAAGAAGGAAGTAAGTACCTTTGATCAAAATGAAGCAAAAGTGATTGGAGATCTTCTGCTGTATACAGTTATAGCATAAGGTTTTCCTATATGATAACGTGAATCTATTTTATCTCAAATTTAAGTGAGGAATAAAATCATGGCAAAAGAATATTTCAAAAACAGTATGTAAATATTTTTTATGAATAAGACTTCAGCACATGCAATTTAGATATGCCCAGGAGCCCCACCCCTGTGTATACTTGTTTTTGGAAATGTGTGGTTGTCTTCAACTACTGGCCTTCTTGCATCCTTATCATTATTCATCTCAAGTCTCCAAAATCACAGATGCATTTGGTATTTCTTCTTATTAAATTACCATAGTTTTCTTTCTTTATCTCAAAAAATATTGCCCAATAAACAGAATTACCTACACTCTTAAAAGTATTAAATGAAGTGCTTAATGATTCTCAATTGGGCCAGTATATATAGAATGGTGGCTTCCATAATGAAATAAAAAATAGGAAGACATACAGCATCAGTGACTTTGGTATGGTGAAGACAAAATCCATGACTCTATCTCACGACTCCATTGAAATATGGCCTAACAGTTTCTCTTCCATACTCATTTTTTTTTTTAGTTTCAACAGTTATTAAAATAAAAACAAAACAAAAAAACCCAACAACAATGCAATGCAGTTGAAATCAGAAGCAAACCTGTATTTAATCCCTAAATTCGCCACTTATTTCCTTTTTGATCTTAAAGTTCTTAACTTCTCTCATTGAAAAACTGACAGTCACATTTACTTATAATAAGTACACAGAAATGATTTAATTTACTTTTTTTGCTCTTACTTAGTTAATGAATTTAAATCTCCCTCTCTAATATTAGTAAGTTAAAGATATAATTTTCTAAGCAGTGTGTTAGTTGTATTTATATGTTAAATTTTTATGGAACTTCATTTTGTAATGTTTTCTAAATTCCTGTTTGTTTCACTCAAGAGTTATATGAGATCATTTTTTGAATTCAAAATATTTGAGACCATTATCAGTTATTTCTATCAACTTTTAACTTACTACTTCTGTTTTCAATAGAAAATATATCTAATATTCTAGTCATTCAAATTTTATTAAAATCTTGATTAATATTCAACATGCGCTTGAGAACGTATACACTGAAATTATGTGTGTGTTCAATAAATGTTAATCGTTCAACTAGTTGATAATTTCATTCAGATTTTCTACATCTTAATTAATCTTTTATTCTTGTAGTTGTAATGGAACAAGAATGTAAAATGTCCAGCTATGGTTACAGATTTATCTGTTTATTTCCATTATTTTTGACAATTTTTTCCTTTATTATTTCACAAACAAGGCTACATCTTAAAATTTTATATGTAGCAAATCTTAAAGAATACTAATGAATGCAAGGCTCCCGTGTCTCTCAACTTTCACACATTTTGAGGGAAAGAAATAAACTACAACATTTTCATAAGACAAAACAAGATTTATAGAACTATTTTTGGCTTCTCAATTATGTCCTGTCCTTACATCAAAATTCATGAAATTACTGTGTGTTTTAATTTTGTTAGCAACGGTTGCATTTAGAGCACTATTACATAACTGTTTTATAAGGCAAGAAAAACGGCAGTAGAGTTTAGCTTTCAGACTTTTCTGCTAAAATTTAATGACTATTATCATGTGATGAATTTCCTATTAAGATATCTCTGTAACTATGATAATGAAAAAACACTTATGATGTTTAAAGGATAACATAAGACACTTTTCTGTTATCATTCTTATTACATTTATGGTTTCCCTTGTTTAAGATGATTTTAAACTCTCAAGAAAAATGCATCTCCAAGGGTACCGTAAGATACTTCGGATTTACTGCTGACACCTTTACGTGTTTTAAAATTTACCTGATTCGATTCAGTTATCAGATATCTTAGGAACCACATGGAAAACTCCTCAATATTAAAAATAGAAAAGTTCTGAACTTTGATTTCTAAAGGCACAAATTCATGTCCTACATTGATCTTGGAAATCAATCAGATGATTAACAAGTTTTCTGAGTATCTATATGCAAATGTAGGTTATCATTGCTTTCAAATATATATGTAGCTATTAGCTACTTACTTTCATTTAGGATTTTATTATTGAAATAAATTGCTACAGGAGGAGAAATTCATTTTACTGAGGGTGAATTACAGTTTATTCATTTAATCAGTGTTATTTTGCAGACAACTCTGATACCCACAGATTAATTACACACTTTGTATATTACAAGAGCCAAGGAGCGTCTTGTTCTTTTCAGGGACCTGCTCTTTGGAACCGTTGTTTGTTCATTAGTAACATTGTAAGAGCAGAGGATTTGAAAGTCATCCAAACACACACCAGTAAATGAATGTAATTATTAGTTATTCAGCTAAAACCTAAATTAAATGTTGATGAAAAAGCAATCGAAAATACTGATCAATATAAGGAATTTTCTGAAGTTTTAAGTTCTTTGTCACACCATTGTGTGTGTGTGTGTGTGTGTGTGTGTATATATATGCAGATGCATAATCCTTTCAATTTAGTTTTGCGCTAATTTCTGTCCAAATTTGCTGGACTATTTCTAATATATGTATTTATAAACTTTTATTGCAATAAAATATTTTAAGTCCTATGCTATTATAGGAAAACGCTGCATGTCATACCCAGTGACGTTCTTGCAGGTACTGCATCTTTATTGATCCAAAAAGACACCCAGGAAAGAACGACTGTTAGAATACATGGAATGTAGGTCTGAATAGTGAAGTATCCCATTCGTCTACTCAGGTCAAAAAAAATTGTCATGATTACATAATCCCCTGAAAGAAAAATAATATGTTTCATTTTGGTTAGAAAATATATGAAATATATATTACAACTCATACATTTAAATATCAATGCTATCGAGTGCTAGCACAATTCACTTCTACATATTTTATCCTTACCTGAGATTGTGTGAGCGATTTCAGTTGAGTTTCTTAAACCTACAAATGCAAATTGATATAATCGCCAGTATTTAGGATCAGCTACTTCTACAGAAGGCTTTTTCCATTTATATTCAATTTCATTTTTAGGGTATCCATCTGTAGGAAAAATTTAAAAGAAAATATGCAGAGTCACAAGATCAAAAACAAGTACTGTTATAATAACATTTCATAAAGACAAACTCTTGGAAATTCTTCCCTTATCTGTTATTATAAAATATGATAAACATTAAAACTGTTTCATGAAATATGTATATATAATTTAAACAGTAATACTGTTTTGATTATTTTACGCTGATATGCTGATTTCAGATGTAACTTTTCTTGAAGCAACTAGAGGTTTGGGTTATGTCATTATTTTCATGTGTATCTATGTATCTTGGCTTTACAGAGATTGTATTCTGTTAGACTTCCACACCACAATGCTGTCAAAATCAAAGCATAAATTTACCATGTTTTTGAACTGTCCTCAGATTATAACTGAGTGTGAACTAAATTTTCAGGCTTCAAATTTTATGTGGATTTGGAGGCTAAAACTACTTTTTAAATTTGTGATCACCTACAGTTTTGGAAATATTTTAATAGCATGAAGTTTTAAATTATTTCAACAAAATGGTTAGTCTACATATTACAGAGTTCACTATGGCAAAAAACTGGATTTTTATATTCAAGTTATTTTGCTTTAATCGCTTTCTTGTGTTTCCTATTTTCCTCTTATTAAATATAAAGGATTTTAATTTTAGATTTCTAACATAAATTTTACAACTCAATACTCTTCTCAAATATTTGCTATTAAAGTAAATACTCTGCACCCAATCATTTTAAAACAAATTTTAATTTCAATGTAATAAATTTAAATTGCTTCCTCAAAACTGAGTATAATTTGAACCATCTTTTTATTCTTGATTTGTAAAAACATTTAAATTAAAATCTATTCTCACTTGTACTTTAATCTAAAATCAAGAAGCAAATGCGCTATTTGTAATTATTATACACAACAAATTAGAGCACAATCTATGTTCTTTAAAAATTGTGTTGAGTCTCATTTATTTGTATTTTTAAAGAAACAAGTTTTAAGGATAAAACTCCACGAAATAAAGTATTTTATCACTTACAGCTTGAAAATTCCAGTGGACAAGAATGTTCATCCATAGGAAAATTATGAAGTTGAAGGTAACATTCTGCGTTAATTGTCAATCTATATAGATGGAAAAATATTGAATAGATAAACAATTTCAATCATTAAAAATCTCTTGCTTATTTTTAAAATATGATTTTGGCCTACAATAACAAAGTATGACATATGAGAATACAGTAGTAATATGACAATTAGGATCCCACAATATTATATGAATATGAACATGAAAATTCTAACATTTTTCTGTCCAAAAAATTCAGCTATCTTTGTATACATTTCAAACTTATCTCTGGACTTACAATTTTAAAATTTACATCTAAAATATTCTTCTAGATTCTAAAAGTCTCTCTAACATGTACATTCATATACGCATACATGCAGAAGATAAACATGTTTGGCACAGTTAAGTGTGCTGATATTTTCTCTTAATGTATCATGAACATATTCCTATTAAGAATGATCCTTGATGTTCAGGTACAGTACATTGAGGAAATTAATTGAGTTCAAATCTTATACATCAATCTTTTCTTGGGATATTTTAATTTTAATTCAGTATTTTTTTTTTTTTTTGGTACAGGGAATTAAACTCAGGACTTTGCACTTGCCAGGCAGGCACTGTGCCACTGAGCTATATCCCTGGCCCTTAGTTCATTTTTAATAATCTCATTATAAAATTTTGTAACATGATATGTTCCTAGAGAAAACTCAATGGTTTACATTATTGGTTAAAAAGCATTAGTGAAACAACCTATTTTGCAGCTAGAAAAGAATTTTAAAAATTGGAGGGCTTTTTGTTATTGCTTTTCCTTAGCTGTAGACCTTTTCACAGTAGGAACTGTAAACTTTAAAAAATATTGCCAGAATATTTCACCATTTGTATTTTACCACTAGAAAAGAATATCGTGTTTCCTACATTGTAAGTTTGAAGAAGAAATCTCTAGAAGCTAGTCAAAAGTTAGTACAAATAAGCTACAGCAAATGCAAATTTTTAGAACAGTATTACCTTAAGGTATAAAGAACTCGTCCATCATTCCAAATTCTCAGCAGACGATTAGGAGTTGTTATCCAGTGTGCATCAGATTTTCTTGAGTTTCTGAAGAAAGTGTCAGGAATCCAAATTTTTCCAACCATATTACTATTAAGCATAAGCACTTTCATAGTACTGTTGAATTTCAGTCGACTGTCGAACCAAGTTTGAGCAAAAATTATATCTATTGTATATTCCTAAAAGATGCAAAGAATAATGCATTTTTATAGTTTCCTAAGGGTTGATTATTTAAGACTGAGACTCAGAACACCTATCAAACAATTTCACTTCAGGGCTCCCAGCAGAACCTTCCCACAGTGACTGTGTGAGAGGCAGTCATAGGAGCTATGGTGAAGAAGGAAGCAAGACATAAACCCTTCAAGAAGTTGTAGCTCAGACTGGGAGGACACAGAGCCCCACCAATCACGGTGAGAATCTAGGCGACTTGTGTGGACCTCAGAAGCAGCTGTATCTGAAAGTGCTAAATTAGGTACAGTAGTCTGCATGAGTACTGAAGTGCCTTGTTGCCTCCCGCCAGCATAGATCAAAAGTCGGATTGCTTCTCCACTACCTGTTCTGAGCAAGAGACACCTCAGGTTGCAGGAGAAACTTACCCCAGTATGAAAAGATAAAGTGGCCTCCACAGTAGTGGGCCAGCTCACAGTCCCTACAGCTATAAAGTAGGCACAGTAAACCATGGCTTGGTGGATTCTAAGATTGCAGATCCTTTTGAAAATATGGGGAAACCTTTTTTTTTTTTTTTCTTCTTTTGGACTCCTCCACCCAAATTATTTAGAGTATGGGGAATTTTCCTTTTTCCTTTGATTTTTCCCTTTAATTATTCATTTTAAATCTTATTTTAAATTTCTCACTTTTCTTCTTTTTCTTGTTTGAACTTTTCTGTTACATTTATTATTTCTACTATTTTCCTTCTAATCCTTATTAGGATTCTTTATTTCACATTTCTCTCCCCTCCATCCTTCACTGACTAATATTCAAACTTTTTGTCTTGCATTTTAACATCCTTTATCTGCTCTGGTTGATACATTGTATCAACTTGAGAACTTCAGAAGTTTAACCCAGACACTTAGCAGGGAACCAGGATGCTGACTTTGTAGATATCCTCATCCTGTGCAGGAGGAGATTGCAGAGACTTTGTGAGTGCTGCACCTGTCCTGGAAGGGAGGGATGGCCTATGTACAATATAAGATAGGAAAAGAGGCTTGCTCTTCCCTCTTTTGCTGGTTGCTGCCTTGAAGTGTTGCCCTGATGCCCTGCCACCCTGCCTTATAGCCAGCCAACTGTGGATTGAAACCTCTAAAAACTGTAAGTTAAATAAAGTTTTCTTTCCTTAATTTTTGGTGTTTGATATTTTGTCCCAGCAACAAGAGACAAGTAACTGAGACAACACCCTTCTATCTTTACTACAAAAACCATTAAACTAGGTAGTATTATGGTCTGTGTCTGGATGTGCCCCCAAAGCCCATGTGGTCATGGGAGATAGGCTTTGGGAGCGCTTGAATCTAGAGTTTGTGACTGGATCATTGTCCAGTGCTGGGGTTGGGTCGGTGAGTGCTGCACTAGAGCTAGGAGTGTAGCATTCAATCATAGTGAAGGGAAGAGGTTTGCTTCCTCATTGTACTCTTGCTGCTTTTTCTGTCTTCTGCTGCCCTGAGCTGTCGCCCCTGTGCCATGCCGCCCTGTCTCGGAGCCAACTGAGTACAGACTGAAACCGCCACAAAGTGCCAGCTAAACACACCTTTCCTCCCTTCATTTTGTCAACATGAATAGTTTCAATTTCACAATCAAAAGACACACATGAGCTGATAGATCAAGAAACACTATCTAACAATATATTGTATATTCAAAATGCATTTAATTTAAAAAAGAAATTCATAAATTAATTATACAAAGATGTAAAACAGTATTCCACACAATCAGAACTTGAAAAAAGCAGGAACAACTATCCTAATTTCATACAAAATTGATTTCATGCTAAAACTAATCATAAGAGCAAAATAGGCCCGCACCTACTGGATAAAATAACAAACAGAAAGTGGTAACAATTATAAATTTGCAAAAAACACTAGTACACACAACTTCATAAAACAAACAATACTACACAGATAACACTAACACAATAATGGGAGCGCTCTCAAATATACAGATCAATCTGACAAAATTCAAAAAGAAATATCAAACTTGAATAAGACCTTTGAAGAAATGGATGTACTAGATATCTATGGAATGTTACACCTAAGAACAAAATAATACATATTTTTCCCAGAAGAACAGCAGACTTTCTCCAAAACATACCACATGATATCCCATAAAGCTTAAGAAAATGCCAAAATATGAAGATTTTCTTGTGCATAGTATCAGAACACCATGCAATGAAATTAGAATGCAAAGGCAAAAGAAGTGACATAAGCCTTGCAAACACAAGGGAATTAAGCAAATCCTCTGAAATAGAGTCATAGAACAAATAAAAAAAGAAACTAGACAGCTGATAGAGTAATGCTCAAACGGTCATGCTGGTGCAACGTAACAGAACTTACAGGACACAATCAAAGAGTCCTAAGAGGGAAGTTTATATTGCAAATACCCATGTCAGAAAAACATAGTGAGGCTGGGGAGGAGAACAAGATATTTATGAAAATCTAAGACCTCCTGTGAGTCAATGCCCTATCTGGGCTTACTGGGGGAAAGCCAGATGCCAGCCTCTTCTGGCACTCAAGCAGTGTGGTAAGAGCCAATCCCCACCCCCACCCCACCAACCCAGCCCCATTATGCAACCAGTTGATCCAGAGAAACACAGGCTGTGATGAGAGCTTGTGGGGTAAAATACAATGCAATGCTTGTAGTTTTTAGTGTTCACTGACTTGTTAGCCCTGAAGCTGGTCTGATCATTTATTGAAAGAATAGCAATACACAGTGTAGCACATATGGGGGATCTCCTTCTCAAGGTGGTAGTCATTACTCATCCCCTATTATCTTGTTTTGAAATCCTGTATCATTCTCATTGTTTTGTTTGATTGGGTTTTATTCTGTTTTATGTTGTTGGATTTTATAGCTGATGGCATGTGCAGATGTTTTGATGGTAACATATATTACGGTAACCATTTTGGATTTACTATTACCTTGGTTTGAAGTCCTATATTGCATTCACTGTTTGTTTTTATTGGTTCTATTCTGCTCTGGTTTGCTGGTTTTACTATGTCTGAGGGTATGGGCAGCTGTTTTGAAGACAACAAGAGGCATTATGGTGACCATTGTTGATTTTCTGTTATCTTGTTTTGGACTCCTGTGTCACTTACACTGTTTTGTTTTAATTGGATTTACTGTTTTATTTTGCTTGATTTTATTCTCTTTGATTTTTTTTTTTTTCTTTTTTTTTGTCTTCCAGAGATGGGGTCTTGCTATGCAGTTCAGGCTGGCCTTGAGCTCACTTCATAGCCCAGGCTGGTCTCAAACTCACAATGATCCCTCTGCCTCAGCCTCCCAAGTGCTGGGATTACAGGCATGAGCCACCACACGCGGCTGAAATAAAATTTTAGAAAAAATTTTAAAAAGAAAAACAGAGAGAGCCCAAAGAATTGAACTAATGATGTACTTTAAAGTCCTACCAAAATAAGAACAATATAGAGGGAAACTTAATACACAACAGGAAATTATTCAATTTGGAGCAAAAATTAATGAAATTAAGTCAAACAAACAAAAAAAGAAAATGAAGAGAATCAATGATTCAAAAAGTTGCTTCTTTGAAAAACTAAATAAAATAAAACCCCAGCTGATTTGAAAAAAAGATCAAGCCAGCAAATAATCCAATTAGAAATAAAAGAATGAGGGGCTTGGGATTTAGCTCAGCGGCATAAGTGCCTGCCTTGCAAGCAGGCAGTCGTGAGTTCGATCCCTGGTACCAGTAAAAACGAAAAAGACAAAAAAAAAAAAAAAAAAAAAAAAAAAAAAAAAAAAAAAAAAAGAAATAAAAGAATGATTTCCCAATGGACATTGCTGAAATCCAGATCTTTGTAAACTATGAGTGACTATACTCTAATAAATTGAAAAACTCAGAATAGTCACATTCTTTGATACATATGCATTTCCAAAATCAAACAAAGTATAAAAATCCTGAATAATATAATAACAATGATACTGTGCTGTAATTTTAAAAAACAGATTAAGAAAATATCAGGTCCTGATTTAGACTGCTTAATTCTATAAGCATTTTACTGAAGTAGAAATAATGCAAATACTCCTCAACCTCTTTAATGAAATTGAAAGGGAATGGGTAATCTCTGTCATTCTTAGAAGCTAGAATTACCCTGATTTCAAAGACAAAAAAGGGGCCAACTACAAAAAAGTATCTCTTTAATAAACATAGATGCAGAAATCGTCAGCAAGATGTTGGCAAAATGAATGAAATAAATATTCAAAAAGACTATACACTGTGACAAAATAGGATTTAGTACAGAGATACAGGGATGATGTATTAAATGTAATACATCACATAAACAGAAAAAAGACAAAAATCATAGGAAGGACCACAGAAAAAGACATAGACTAAATCTAACACCAATTTATGATCTTAAAAAAACCTGAATAAAGTAGGTGTAGAAGGACCTTATCTCAATCTGATAAAAGCTATTTATAAAAAAAATAAGGAGCAACCCCATATTACACTGGGAAAAAAAATGGAAGGTTTCCCTTTAAAATCAAGAGCAATATAAGGATGTCCATTATTACCACTCATGTTCAGTATAGTTCTGAAAACAGCCATAGTAATCAGGGATAAGAAAGAAAAATGATACAAATATATAATGCATACACACACACACACACACACACACACACACATATATATGAAAGTAAGAATTCATGTTATGATTTTTGCAAATGGCACGATCCTCTATGTAGAAGGCCTCTAAAAATTTATCAACAAACTCCTAAAATTCTTAAGTTCAGTAGCTTAAAATGATAAAAAATCAAGATACAAAAATAAATAGTTTCCATACACAAATAATTAATTGAGAAAGACATTAGGAAAACAATGACATATGCAATAGCATGCAAAAATTAAATACTTAGAACTTAACCTAACAAAAGGAGTAAAGACTTCAATAACAAAAACTATATTATTCCTTGTTTCTGAGGAGGCAGAACCATCGTTGTCAAAACAGTCACAGTGCAAAACTAA